GTCAAAAGAACAAAAAGCTTCCATTTTCTGTTTGAATTCCATAATTGCATTATAAACTAACTACCTGCAATTTAAAAAAAAAAACCTTTTGAAATGACACCCCTGTACGGAATGTAATTACAGTCCCTTTGGGGTAGAGGTTTATGTAACTGACGTCCCCGATGCACGCGTGTCTTTGATGTACAAGTGCAGTACCAGCCTCAAAAAATAATACCGACACCCCGTTTACAAAAGTAAAAACCGTAGCTGAGTGTAAAACTCTTAGACTACACAAAAATTGTTTACAAAGAGTCATGGTTGTCTATAAAATGTATTTTCGATATTATCGATAATTTTGAATAAACAACTCTTCAACGGTCCGCTGGGATATACGATAGGATATAGGAATTTCCAATCATAAACCATTCTACGAGTAGTAGGTTGTTAATATGTCAACGCGACCATCAAACTATTCATTGCTAACCAGTCTGCGAGGTACGCAGTCCGATATATCATTCCAAAAGCCATTGATACACATAATTATATATAAATACATATGTTCCATCAAGCACACCAATACACATATTTTTTGTTATTGATCATGAATTCGGTTGCGGTAAATTCATATCCAGCCTCTGTTATTTGAGGTCACGGTATGTTGGTAAACCTATTGGATTCCATTTAAATACCTTAAATCGTTTGATTATGAGGGTTGACATATCTATAGAGAATTAGTTATTGTTTATATGTCGACTATTTGTCAGATGTCACTTGGTACAGGTAACATTCAATGTTATTGTTTCTGATGAAATTTGTCATTATTATCTTATACGCATCAATTAACAGTGCGTTTCATAATACAAGTACGTTATGTGTATAATTTTCTTTAAGAAAATTAATGGACAGGTACAAATATTTTAACTCGTACCTTAAAATTTAGTACCTATGTTAAGTTATCATTGTGACAAAAGTTTACATTAATTTGATCAAAAACCTTTGCAAATTATGTAAACTTATAGAATTTTCAAAAATATCAGCAAACTTAAGACTCCTAACTGAATTTGTACTTTCATTACAAAAGTTTTTCTCTTAACACCGTTCGTTTTATAAATATGTCTAAGTGGTGTTGCGATAAAACTTAAGGTTCAAGAAAGTTCATTAAACAAGTCTAAATAACCTCAAGCTATTTCAAGATCTTAAACTTCATTAAAGATCTTTTTACAATGATATCAAACAAAAAATATCTTTTGTTTGTGATGTGATCGTTTCTATTGCAGTGAGTAATTAATATGAGTTTGAGATGATAAAAAGAGAGATAAATAGAAATTTTGAAATTTTTGTTAATTTAGTAAAGCCATGATTAAAAATTTATTATGTTTAGCAAAATAACTCGCAAAAGTCTCTTCAGAGTCTTGTATTTTATGTTCCTACTTAGTACATGTGATTAAATCGTGATGTTTTTTACGTAAAAGTCCAAAATATGTAACAGATTAATTTGTTTTATTAAAAAAAACTGTAGTACCTGAAGTACATTCCATTTTGTATCATAAAATGTCTTGTTCGATGAATAAATAATTCTCGAGCAAATACGAGAAAAGTAATGAGCTCCATTTTCGTACCAATATTGTATCGAAACAATTAAATAATTTTTTGGATATCTTCATGAAGAGCTCTTGAATTAATTATTTTAAGGTATAAATTTTATTCATATGAATTTTGTAATTAAAACTTTTATAATATTTATTTTAACAATTTTTATAAACGTAAAAGATAATATTATTTTATTTTGAGTATAAAAGTCGAAATGAAATATTATATAACATTAATTATCAATTTTTGTGTCCTTAACATACTTTGATAAGATTTAAAACATATTTATATTGTTGAAATATAGTTTTCCATAGATTTTTTACTCTTAAAACATAATATCAAACGACGTTTTTATCCGTCGCTGGATTACTATTTTAGTTTTGATTACTGTAAACAACACATACAAATTAATATTCTGTTGACAGACGACTCCTTTGACCAATCTCTCGACTACAGCATCAGTATCAGATTTATGAATGAAAATTTGGAAATACTACGTACGTTGTTTGACAATGCAAGCTTGTGGGTGCCTCCATCGTTCCAAAACTTATTGTAATGGTCCCTCAATACTACAAAGCCGGCAGATAGGCTACGTCTATGTCCTATCTGTCGGCTTTGAAGCATGAGATTGTCGATTTAATTTCTACAATGTATGTACGTTCCAGAATTTCGTCCCTAACACGTGCAACTGAATCCTGCCATTGTTTTCATAATATTTAGGTGATTATTAAAATTACGTTGATATGACAGATGTGTTTCAGCTAGCTGATAGTTCTTTCTATTTTACTTGTCATGTTAAAAAAATTATGAGTCATTTCATAATTTGACAAAAGAATCTTGATAAAAGTATCATGTCTCGAATAAAATTAAATTTAAGATATACTTGATGTTTTTCCAAAAATTATTCAGAAAATGTATCACAAATTGATAAAATATACGGCTTCAGATTGACATAGTGAAAGAAGAAAGTATTACTGTTATATGACACGTTCATTCATTCATATCTCATTTTTTTCTGCAAACAATACAAGATGAACTCATATGTATATTAGATCAATATTATAAGAATCAAATTTTAGAGTTTTTGTGAAGCAATTATTATAGCTGTATTTAAAATAAAAGGTATGTTATATTTAGTGTTATCGCAGTAATGGGGAACTTCATAAATAAATAAAGACATTTTGGCCAACATAATATGTACGAGTTACTCAAATCCGTGGTTGCTATTTTTCCAAACTAGATGATCCAACCGGAATATAAAACATGCAAATTCACTTTACCACTTCTGTTAATTGATTAAACAAATTTAACCTTTCTATGGTTGGCATATTTCTGAGCATTTTATATTTAGTCATGTTCCAAAGAAGTTCTGTAAGCGTAATCAACTTTTGTATAGGTAGATATTGAAATCCAGCTTTACTGAAGTAAAGTAAATTCCACCCAAATTATTATTATTGGAAATTAATTTGTTTCCAAACTACTGTGTATGACTCGAAGTGCGGTTAGTTAATTCAAGCTGTTAAATCAACTTGAACGGAATGATCCGTACTCAGAATAGGGTTCATCTACGTTCATACCATGTTATGTATGTACATGCTTCTTAATTATGTGAAATTCAGACAATCTGTCTAATTGATTTGTATTTATTCCATTAAATCAGCTATTCCTTTGTAAATTAATTTCAGGAATACCTTCAGAAATCAGTTCAATACAACTTCAAAGGATAAAGCCACTTGCAATCATCTAATTGATTCCGAGTTTTATGAAGATACAAAATCTTTTATTGCTTGTTTCGTGAAAAAGCAGATTAATGTTCCTTATAGCTTGTAAATTATATTTCAATTTCAATTATATATATTTTTTTATTACATGATACGATTCAATGAATTTATTTCGCACATTTAAATTTATCACTGTTGATTGCAGGAATATTTCATACTTGAAATTTCATGGAAAACTTTTAATTAATAAGTGAAAACTTCATTAGGATATATTTCAGATTCAGAATATTTTGTTTTATAAATAAGTGTGTTAGTTAGTTTAACTTGTTCTTCATTAATGTAGTTTATTATAAACTTAGTTCTTTTTTATCATTTACCTTTTAAGTGCTTGTAGTGAAGAGATCGTAATTAGATTAGGTAGAACGTAAGGCGATAAATGAAATGTTTGCGTTGCGAAAAATAGTTTATCCGGTTATTTAAGTGGAGATCAGATTTAAGAAAATTTACTCGAATAACAAATATATACTTTTTAATTTATTTTCAACATTATATACTTTAATTAATTAATAAATATCTAAATTGTCATGGTCATCAATATTATAAACAAACTATTTATGACAGTGCGTTTAAAACATACCCAAAAATACATTTTAATAAACCAAAATTTAAAAGGAGTAAAAATAATCGGTAGAAGGTTTTTAATATTTTTTGTATATATTGAGAAGAGTTGTTGTTAATGCTCTTGCTTCGAACTTTTTACACTACATGAGCTATGTTAAGCTAGTGTACTCGTGATATTAAAAAAATACAACAAAAAATTACTGTTATTATTAATTATTGATCAGATCAGGCTTTTTTCGTTACAAATAAAATAAAATACAATTTTAAAATAAAATAAAATATCAGTAAAATATCCTTATGTTTTACAAAAAAAGTCGGTACCGGTTATGCTGAAAATTTTTTTAGTTTGAAAATATGAAAACCTAATTGAGTATGCAAAAAAATAAGCGCGCTTTCACTGACCGTTCCACAGTTGCCCGACGACTAGCGACTGCCCCTTTTGTAAAAATAAAATTTATATATATATTTCTTTATTCAGCTACCAATCAACCAGTAGTATATTCCAAATGACTGGATTAAATGAAACGTGCTATGGTTTTATATGAGTGCTTAAAAAAAAAAAAGATATGAAATGAATTTTATTGTATTACTTTCATTATTTTATAATTTATTAATGCACGGTTTTTCAGTATTATAACTTTAAAATTTCTTATTATATTTCGAATTAATCCTGTAAGAGGAGTATTATAGAAACTCAGAAATATTTATAATAGAGTAGAGTAGAAGCATTGCTTAGCGAATTTATTAATTGAACGACAAGAACTGTGTGTTTATGAACGGACTTGTGCAGTGTGCTTTGTGAGTATACAGTAAACAAGCCTGGGCTTATATTCGTATAACTATATTAAAGATAAACTTATCTTTAGGATAGAAATTTATAATATTATAATTTATTTATTCAATTTAAATATAAAGGAAAGTTTATCCTTTATATTCTTATCCATTTGAAATGTGATCCTATTTGAAATTTGTACCTTTTTAGTTCACACGGAATGTGCTTTCTAAATCTATTATAAGAAAGCTATTCGTTTTGCAAGCAGTATTACTGTTGTGTAATATTAATGTGTGCTTCCCTCAGCGTCGGCCGCGATGCCGCGCTGTTATATGGTGAAGAAAGGCCCTCGATCTGACGACCCGCCATGCAGTCCTCCTGGCTACCGGGACGAGTCGCCGATCAGGGCAGACAGCCCTTCAGACGACCTCGTCATCATAGGTAAATATATTTTCTTCTTTTCTGTTCACGCTGAAAAACGATTATCAAGCTTATCAATGTTCGATTAAATATAACTACCTTTTCATAAATGTAGGTATAATCATTTCAGGGTATGAAAGGAAATCGTTATTCTTTTCGTATAATCGTGGTCATGTCTTATTTGCTCAACTTTTAACCTTTCCAAAACGTTTTCATGTGGACTTAACTGAAATAAAGAGAAAAAAACCCCAAAGTTTGTATTGTAGGGATTTCGTTTCATGTCATATGTTTATTGCAAGACTAAATAATTTTAATTCAAATTTTTTATAATATTTTTTGGTTAGTTCAACATTTTTTTAAATCTAAAATACATGTCTATGATATAATTTACATTCGAACTCAGTCTTTGTGCGATTAAATAACAATTGCTCTATAATTCATTACAACATTTTTGATCAATCCAAATGAACTATTTCCGATTATTTACTGGAGCTAATCATTTATTTACAGCAGATTATTAAAGTATCATGAAATGTAAAGTGTAAACAAAAGGTTTGCGTAGTTAAATTCATTTTGTGTTGACTTTTTAATCAAGTCACCCCTATATTGAAATAATCAAAATAAACAGTTGCATTAAATTATAATTAATAGATATTGCCGGTAATAATACGAGAAGGCGTTTAAGATGTGATGCACAATACAAGATAAGTCTAATGAGCTATTCAGGCATTAAGTCAAAACTTACTAATAACTTGTCTTGAGTGCTTGTTAAGTCTATAGCTTAAACAGTTGTTGAGAACAAGACTTGAATGATTGCTTGTAAGTATGAAACTAGTATAATTAAACAACACCGTCATGCTTATATTGGTTTAATATCAGGTAAAGTTTGTTATTACTTAAGACAAATTATAAGTTATCGATACGTTTAATAGCTCAACGGATTCTATTGAAGTTGATGAAGATAGAATAAAGTGACTGGAGTGATTTATAATACGTATAAATAGTATAATAGGTATAAATAGTATAATAGGTATAAATAGTAATTAGAAAAAATAATTAAAAGATTACGAAGTGTAATAAAACGGTGTGAGTACAGAGTTTAATATAAATTCTCTGTAACTGAAAAATGCAGATATGATAATGTATGAGAATAAAAACATGCCTTTGAATGGAGATTAAATAACTTGAACGCTAGATACCTTTTCAAAATTCCTTTTGAGTTCTATTTTTTTATACTTTGCCGTAATTGTTTAACCGTCCGCTTGTAATACGACTAATTCGGCACGGCGTACCATCCTGATTTCGTTTGTCTTATTTTATTATTCATTCTTTCCTTTGCTGGAATCGAGTTGACATTGATAGAGGGTATTGTTTTCCGAAAATTTGTGAAGAAAAATTTGATTACATAACATTCAGAATGATTTATAAATTTAAATCTCTTTAACAATTTTAATAATTTGTGTTATAGATAGATATTTAAATTATATAAATGTACGAAGTTACCAAAAAAGTCTTTTCGAATATACTTTAGATGAAACTGTTTAATCCCCACTAAGTTTCATTCTCCCAATTAGAAGATATCATTAGACTTGTTTCATTAGAAAAAGCTATGCGAATGAGTTTAAGTACCTTTGACTTTATTAAAAATTTGTAAATTCTTTGTCCTATTATTTAACTATTCGTCAAGGTTAGAAAAATATTATTTATTTCAAATCTAAAATAAATATATGAAATGTAACATACTCATAAAGTAAACATGAAGTATAGGCTTTTGTAAATATTACTGAGTTGAGTTTACGAATACATTCAAATTCATTGAAATTAATCAATACGTATTCCAATATTTATATTTCATACAGACTGGTGTGCTATAAAATAAATAATTCTTCAAGTCCTTTTTGAACAGAAATTGACATTTATACATTGAGACCATGAAGTTGGGAATATATATTTTGCAGGTATACGTAAAAGCGTTAATTAGAAAATCTAGTTACATTTATATATTTGTCAACGATATAAATGTAACTTAGAGAGAAGAGCTAAATTTGAAGGTGTTTATAAAAACCTTATTTGCGGTCATAAAATTCATCATGTAATAACATATTTAAACAATGTCTAATTTTCCATGTATACAGTTAAATTGAATATCGGTTTAAATGATATTGCCTGATATAAATAAATGTAATGAACATCATCATTTCTATTTAAAGCCGTTTATAAATAATAGATTTGTGGTTATTGAAACGCTTTATGAAATGAATCATTTTAAGCATGTTAATTAATATATTTGACTAAAGAGATATCTGTTTTATACATAATAACGTTATTAATTAAGTTCTACTATCAATTTGATGTTAAATTGCTTTGGTCATAGCGAACTAAATCGCCAGCAGACTGAAAATGTAAAGCAGATAAGATTCAATATAATTATAGTTCCAGCAGTCCTCAATGGATGTTAGAGCGTTTGAAGTGTTTGAACATGCGAGTAACTGTCGCTTTCAATCTGTTCTGATTGAAACCCTGAAAGCCATGGATCTGCATTTATGGATAGGCTATAGAAATATACCTACATAGATCGCTTATCGATTTATCTTACGGCTTCAAATTAAGAAGGTACATCGTAGACTTAAGACAACTAATACAGTGTTAACTAGAAGAAACTTATTATTTTATATTTCGATTAATATATAACGTTTTAAAATACATTAGTCAATGTTTTTTATCTGTTTTTCAATATTCCCAAAAATTTGATCATGACTTAAGTGTACGAAATCACATTTAGAAAAAGATCAACTGTTAATTTTAATTTTTCTTTAATATCAAAAGAATTAAAACATGTACAACGAATATGTCTTGGATATCAAAAAGAAAATCACACGATCTGATTTTAAAGTACAAAAATGTTCTAAAATACGAATACAATGATTCAATAAAAGCTGTTCATAAAAACTGTACTTTATTAAATAATAAAATTAAAAATAATTCAACAATATGAAGTTAGGGCCGGCATTAAAACAATACAACATTCCCGGCAACAAGAATAACACAAACTATTTGCGAATCGAATTTCACCATAAGACTCTAGAAATTGTTTTATATTGTATCGCAGAGTATCATCCATTTATGGAAAATTCTGAAATCTATTTTGTGAAATGGGTTCCGCAATAAGTATCTTAAAGCAGCTTTGAACGGGATTACTATATTTTATTACAATATGGCTTTCAATAAATACGATAGTGGATTAAAAATAAAATCTCTTAATGATTCCATATAATTAACTAATTAAATTCTGTTTCACGTCATATGAATGGTGTATTATATATTTTGAGTACATATCTCGAAATATTGTTGATGGACATGTATTACAAGGGAAAATTAATTACAAAGCTGTCTGCAGAATAACCGGGCAGACGCATAGGTTGGTTTTGGCAGTAAAAATAGATAAATATTGTAGCAGTATAACAGGCCCCATGGCGCTTCAAAGGTGTATTTATATTGTGAGCAGAAAGTTATTAATAAAGCAAATAAAGTCAGTAGTTGTTTTGATAATAATTTATATTTAAATTATATATAAAAAATATATATTTTTTTATCTCCATCTTATTAATTATATCTCTCAATTTATAGAAAGGATATTAGGCTGTCACCAAAATAGCTTTAGTTTAGGACAATACGTAAATTGACGATGTAATTGGTGTGCGGTTTCCAATCCATTAATCGAGGCGGTCAACAATTGGCAAGGCCTATTGTCTCTGCAATTACGTTCTGTATTAAAATAATTATAAAGACGGCCTAGGTATTACTTATTTAAATAATTATTTAATTTTAACTTCACAATAAAATATAATATAGTAGAATAAATAAATATATAATATTTTAACTAAAAAGAATATTTTCTTTCCCAATTTATCAAAATAAAAGTTGTTCTCTATTTATTCAAAACCAAGGAATAGAAAATGCAACTTTTATGATACATAAAAATTTACCAGTTGCTATTCAATAGGTGAAGCCCGCTGGGAGTAGCGGCAACGCTAGCCGCATTTTCTCTCTGAATAACAATGCTAACTAATTCCTTAAGGCTAAAATAAACCTGTGCTTTTGTTACTAAATTATATTATGACATAGAAAATATGCGTATCAACAATATAATTCAAAGTATATAAGTTTTATTATATATATGAAATGTATGTTTACTAATTTATAAGAAACTCTTCTAAGAAACTCTTCTTCTAAGAAGCTTTACCCCTTTAAGATGGAAGCAGTTTAAGATTTTGTTATAATATTCAAAAACTTTTCAATAACATGACAATATGAATAAATGTGAAAATCGACAATTGCGGCTTGTAATGTGGAAGTAATTCGATAACATTTTTAATTAATACCCGCTCATTTAATTTGTATTTTCGCATTAACAAGCCGATCGAACGCTAGCCCTTTGATGGTAAAGCCCGCGGCGGCGAAACAGTTTTCCGTGGGGGCTCAAATCAGAGCGTTGGATACATGTAGCTAACTGCATATTGCTGCAGGGTTTTGTCTGGCTTCATCGACCTATACAACAATCTTAAAACCCATACCTACAACGTTGATGGCTGTTAATTCCTTGTTTTAGATGCTTTACTCTATTTTTATTCTAACTGTGAACGTTTTGAAGCTTAATCCTTTTTTAAATTCCTAATAATATATTTAAAGCTTTGTCAAATTCAAAAAATATGTAGAATTATAAATCAGATTTGATTTTGAAGTTATATAGAAATGCATACCTACATTCAAAATAAAATGAACATTCTGTTAATTAATTTACTCATCTTAGTATCTGCTGCTGTTGGTTTGAAAATGTGTTTATAATACACTACAAAATAACTTTTTGTGACTTAAACTTTCATTGCAGCCATTTCATACCAATGCCTTGAGATTTAAGAAAAAAATGTCATAAAAAGAAATGTTAATAAAATGAAGAATTGTAAATAATATTTATGATTAAATTATAATATATATTAAAGCTAACAATTTCTTAAATTAAA